AATAATGTGGGAGATATAGTTATTATATTGAGACGAGAACTTTGTAGGCTAGAGTTGGGCGGGGCGGTATGTGGGTTGGAAAATCAGGTAAAGGATATATGGATCGAAATTCGTCGAATACATACAATTTTGTTGTGCAAAATAGCACTAGCAAGTTAAGAAGAATGGTTACGTATCAAATGAGAAGGATAAGATATGATGAGCAGGACTTGCAGAAGTTCCAGAATCATTAAATATGTAGAAATGGGAAGACGAAGTGGCGAAGTTGAAGATAAGGCACTATACATTAGGCAACGTAAAAGGATAGTCCCACAATTGAGCAAGAGAGACATCCAGAAAAGCGGTATGAACAGAGTTGATTTATCGGCTTTGTAGAATTCGATAGCTCGGCTATACTGCTATATGAAAAAGAATTACAGTATTAAATGAGAGGAACTTCGGTAGCTTAAAGACGAGCGGGAGATTGGGAATGGCAAGAGAAGATGGATCATGTTAACATTTGTGATCGAAGAAAGACGATTCTGCTCGCTGATCAGCAATATGTTGTGAGTTAAGCGTAAGGCTTTATTTACTAAGTCATATATACCTTTTAAAGCGATCTTTTCGTTCAAGCGCATAGTACTACCTCCGTGTATTGTACTCTTTCCGACAACCTTTCCCTGTAACTTCTCACTTCCAAATACGGAAACCACACTTTCTGAGCATGGCTTCGACCCATCTCCGATTCCACGCACTCGAACCAACATGTCCGGGATCGTTAATTTAGTCAGCGTACTTGTTATCGAGCTTCATGTCACTTATTCACGCGTAAATTGCGTAGAATGCCCAAGATGCTCGATTGATCAAAGAAAATCCGCCAGTTACTAGATGTTGTAACCAGAGAGGTATGGTTAACGCGTTTGTTAATGGACAATTATTAATAAGTATTAAACGTTCAGACTTACAAATTTCTATAGTCGATCTTCTGTATCGGAGAAACTGCCTACCATATGACAAGGCGCGAGATGAAATTCGAGAGGCAAAAAAAAAAACCTCTCTCAAGTTGGGCGTCTTTTTATTTTGGCTTCTAGGACTTTCTACGTTCCTTCAATATTGGAGATTCTTGTCATAAACCACAATCTGGCATTTGCTTCGCAAGTAATCGCCCTTACAACCGATGCTCTCGCAAGTATTAGCTGCATCAAAAGCGGAACTAGAGTAGAAAAAGACAAGCAGATTGTTTCAACAAGAAGGATGCTTGTGGGAACTGCCATTTGGGGTGGACGAATTTGGCGGATTTACGTAACTGAGGCTGTTCCCAGTTTCCTTACGAACTTACACTAAGTTTGTGGGTCAATTTTTCTGTAACAAAAATAAACGATTTTAGTAACTGATACAATGAAGCCATTAATGCGCATGTTCACTTTGTACGCGTCTTTGTTGTTGTTAAAATAAAAGTAGTCTAAAGTCGTAACAGTACCAATAATTGTCTGCTACTGTAACTTGCTAATAGTGGGTGAAGATGCTGAACTTACGATCGGATTATACAAAGGTGACCGTTGAAATCTGACATCTGCAGAATTATGGACCCAATATTTCTAGAATAGAGTTTGTGATAACATCTATCAATGGTTATAATTATTGAACCGCCAATCAAGGCAAAGTATCCGTACAGAATCTAATTTGATAATGTGAGAATGTATTGTACTTAAACAACCTCGACGTTAACGACGTCGCAATTACCTGAATTGCAAACCGAGGCACATCTTCAATAGAAAGGTTGACAAAGCTTCCCCAAAACATCCAAGTTTTCGTTTCCACTGAAAATGGCGTATCGAATGTGGGAAATCCAGACGAGAGTATGCTCAATAATGTGAACGTTGATGCATAATTGGAAAAGTCCGCATTCGTTGCATTTTCTTGAACCATGTTACAGAACGCAAGAACGCTGTTACATGTAACTGGAACTACAATTGAAACAACGGTTAATTTAATCGTGAATTTGATTGAAATCGAATATTCGCAAATGCTAAATAATCCGGCCTACTTGTATCTCTGATACATTATATTAAGATTCCAGTAATCTTGGCTGATCTTTAAGACCCCATGGATAGTTAAGTCTCTTTCCATTTCTATGGGGGTATACTACCTTTTCAGTCTTTAAATGTTCAATTTTATTTCGTCTATAAAAAAACACCCACTATATTAACTTTTTTGGAGAGACTGGTCGAATTGAACCAAACGAAATAGAAGTTTTGTCTGAATCAATCAAACCTGCTAAAAATAAATTCTATAACATTTTGCAAAGCAAAAGGCGTTTACAGTTGCTTATTGCATGAACTTGCGTGTATTACCTGCTCTTAAAATATTCTCGTCCCTACAAAATTATTTATTTGTCATGTGACGGAAATAATTGAGCCAATTGTTTTACATTCTTTCTTTTCCAGTTGAGTTTAATTGTTGATTCAATGTCTTTTTCTATTTTTGCAATTCATGATAAAACTCTCACAGATCGAAATTACTATTGTAAAATGCATAATTTATTCGAGTGCGTATATACAATACAAATACTATTATACGTGTATATTAAGCATTCTTCGCTGTAACAATATTTAATATGCCTGTGTATTACGCGTTCGACTTTTTGCTCTAAAACTAGATTATTCACTTTATTATCTCGTCTTAACCGTATCTTGTCGCGCCAAAAATACTTGAATGCCGAATTGAAGAAGCATTTGACAGTGAAAGAATAATGCATCTTGATGAGTTGGTGGCTGGGTAAAATTAATTCGTCACCTAACGTGTCAAAGAACAAAATTTTTGTTGAACTTTCAGACGTGGCCTGGGCATGCATAAAAAACAACAAAAGGTTGACTACTGTTCACTGATCTCCTCTCCTCTCCTTTCTATGCTTTTCAAACATTTTTCATAAAAATCTTTATTTTTGCAACAAACTTACATCACAAAGCCGAAGACCATTGTCGGTCGGAACTCTATAGTAATGGCCCGACATCAAGAACAAACTCCCTCGCATAATAATAATACCCCGAGCCAGGGCGGCCTACTCGAGAATAGCGATACAGAGGAAACATTGAAAACCCCGAATTAGAAACGAGGTTGCTTGACAAGTAGTAGCAATGTAAGTAAAGCGCAAAATTTTTTCAATTGATATATTATTAAATCTGTCAAAACATCTTCTATTTTGTTTAATATGTTTCCATACTGCTTGATTGATTCCCATAGTCAACACCAATAGTCTTATGTTGCATTTATTGAGTATTGGAGGTTAGTATGTGAGGGAGGGAATAACCGCCGAATTGGTATCGGCATAGGGTAGTAAATGTGATACTTTGGTATCTGTTCGTACGAATATTCGACGTCTTGAGCCACTTCTAGATATCGTCATTAATAAATTGTCAATCGTTATTGGATTTTTAGATCCGGAATTCAGGAAGCTCTTACTTTCCAATCGCCAGGTCGCGCCGTTAGGTCACTCCCCTTCGGCCTTTCAAGCCAGAATGTCAAAGCATCGACAGAAATAGGTGAAAGCTTATGAGATCTCTCAGTGGCAAAAGAAATTCACAGATTTAATAGGATGTATTGTCCACACCGTTATTCTGTCATTACTACGGAAAGCCTCACGGAACTTTGCCAATATTATAATTCCAAGGTCCGCACGCGCCTAGGCGACATTCAGCTTTTCGTTCCTGAACCTCCTTTCGCCAACTACATTCTTCTACAACTTCCAGTCTAACCACGCCAATCACACTTACGGTCTATCTCAACTCGATAGGTGTTTAGTCTGATCAATTTTGATTCAATTTCTCGGTCGGCTTTCGAGCTAACTTCACCAAGTCTTTCTTATTTTCTCTCGAACCCACCACGAACATAGCACGAGACCTCATCCATGCTGACACTGAAGATAGTTTGTGTCTAACCGTCTATAACCCTGTCGAATCCTAGTCCGGGGCTTCAAATCTTTACAGTCAATAATGAGGACAATGAGAGGTGCCTATGGGTAGTGTGGATGGATTAAAGCCTTCGCATCATTTTATCATGTTAAATATGTTCCCGGGCTTCCACATTCCAATGTTGGTGGAGAAAGACTTTTCGACTGATTACGGTAAAGGATATTCATGAATTTGTGATTATGGTTTCATGGACGCAAACCAATCAGTGATAAGGCGGGATTAAGAGTAAGATAATCTAAGTGCTGCATATCCGTTTTCCAAATTGCCTTTTAACTATTATCTGCGTAAATAATCGTGAATAGTTTACTCATAATGTTTGCTTTGCTAAGCAGGATATGTTTGTCGACTAGGCCATTCTTCTTAAAAAGGATAAATCTTGGGCGGTCAGTCCACGGACCGGATATGCATCATAACAATAACGGGGAGCTGATTGTTGGAGAGTATGTGTATTACATATCGCAGTCCTTGACAGAGTTTGGGGGGGGGGTGCACCTGCGTTGACATTTTCTTCTGCAAGGTATCTCAATTTTTCACCCTATACACAACATCGTGTTATGAGCACATTACAGCGACTTAGCATTGGCATGACACAAAATGATAACTAAGTCTGTTATAGCAATAATACTCCTCTCTGTCTATCATCTAATGGCACAATAGAAACAAGATGTTGTAATACGGTGAACGGCGACACTTGACAAACATCCTTATATCCACGAAATACGAATAGACAATCAAGATATGGGTTACTTTTTCTATGCATATCCGAAACTCTGGATAATAGCAACCTTCCAAGCCACCAAACTAGATCGAGCAGTTGATGTCTATAGATCGCATTTCTACTATCAAGCGTCTATCTCAGAAGTTGTCGAAATGTAATATAGACTCTTCTCGTGTGATGTTGTTCTCACGATACGGAGATATATATATCTAGTTGGATTGATTCAGGATTGGAGAAGATTGAGATCGAAAAAGTTGTGCATATCTGGTGTATGATGGGATTATGACGTCGCAGCGTAAGGAAGGACGTGGAATTGGTTGCTTGTTCTGGCTATGGAAGACTGGATTATTACGTAAGTTTTATATAATGAATCTATATTTTAGCAATCAAGCTAACATCGATCTCCTATGTTTTGATCCATTTAAGCGTGAAATTATTCTGTGAATTCTCTCCTGGTTTGGCCTTTGTGGAAGAAACTCCTTACGAAGGAGCAAGATTTGATTTTGGCAGAGCCGTGAGTAGTGTGGAAGACAGTCAAACGGACATTGATAAATATTTGTTCATCTAAAATCTCAAGGACAATGGTATGAGTTGCTCAAACGAAGAAAGAAAAAAAGAAGGAAAGATTTTAAGTTTAATTCATTAATGATCATTGGCAGGGAAGGATATCCAAGGACTCGATAATGCAGGCTTTTATCCAACAATGTTGGTCGAAACTTTTTTTAATGCCAATGGGATCAGCCTCCCATACTTCCCCCTTCGCTTTCTTATCCGATCGAATTGAAATGCTTCAACGTCGCATACTCTAATGTTTTCTGGCCATTGAACCAATTGCCGCTTACGATAACTTATCTTCGCAGTTGTTGCGGATCCCGATAAGAGCACCGGATCATCTATTACAGCAGCCATTACAAGGGAAGGTAGTTTTGGTGGAGTATGGACTGTTGGAGATGGATATGTAACTAGTAAATTGAAGGGAAGTTGGAGTTGTTGATGGATTCATGGAGGACAAGAGAACTAGAAGTTGAATAGAGATATGGTAGAGAGTGAAGTAGAGAATCTGGTGAGTGGATTTCTTGGCGTTTTGCGTTATGTCATGGTGCTGCCCACTGGTAGTGTGGATGGATCGCATAATTTATCACGTTAAATATGTCCATATTCTAATGTTGAGGTACAGTTTAGCTTTACGATTGGTGGAGGAGGACTTTTCGGCTGATTACGGCTCTTTTAACTGTTATCTGCATGAATGTTCACTCGCTTTGCTAAGCAGGATATGTTTGTCGACTGGCTATTCTTCCGTCAGATTCATGTACAATCTTGAAAAGGAATCTTGCGCGGTCAGTCCATCGTTTCCATGACGATAACGGAGCCGATTGTTAGAGAGTATGTGTGTTACATATTAATATCGTAATCCTGACGGAGTTATTAAGCCTTGGAGGGTGCATCTGAGTTGACATTTCTTCTGCAGAGTATCAACAATGTTATGAGCGCATTACAGTGACGACATTGGCATGACACGTCGGTTATAGCAACACTACGTATGCGACTCCTCTCCCGTCTACCATCTAATGGCGTAGTAGAAATAAAATCGAGCAAGATGTAATAAAGTGAACAGCGATACTTGACGAACATCCTTAAACCCATCATATACGGATCGGAAATAGACTTAACAAGAGATGATTTATGCATATCCGAAACTTTGCCTGGATAATGGCAACCTTCCAAGCCATCAAACTAGATCGAGCAGTTAATACAAGCGCGTGTGATAATTAAAATAGCACGTAAATAGCTCGACACAAAATTTAGAACAAATAAAGGTGGAGATGGAGATGTCATACGTATATCCATTCCACTGAAATAGTTGGTGTGAACTCACGACGATGATCGCACCTTAATAAACAAGTAACGCCGATTATTCTTTCGATTTGTACTAATACGTATCGATATTAATATTGCATTATACAGTGGGTGACCAAAAGTCTCCGACCACCCCTTAATATTTCCGTTGATCGTGCATAATTCCGTAACAAAGTTTCCAATTGCCACAAACTTTTTTCTATCGTTTGCGCTTGTCTCGGCGCATATTCCTGCAAAATTCCAACATAGATTAATATGTAAACGGTCAGGTTCACTTATACCCGACTTCAATTAACCGAAAATGAGTGAACGTTTAAAAATGTACACAAATAAAATTTATGCTGCGACCCGATGCAAATTAGTATTTATTTGAAAGCCTTTAAATGCCTCAACCAAATGTTAAAATATCACATTTTTATCTTACTTGGCTGCCAAGAAATAAAATTGTATATTTATTATGTGTTTATTATGTTAAAATACAACAAAAATTTAATAATACATGCAAAGCTTTTTTAATTGTTTTAATGCTGGCAACAGTTCCAGATGACTGGACAAAGTTACTCTGGAGTTGTCTTGCTGATTGTTGACGATTTGACTTGACAATTCTTACAATATGGCACTTGTCCTGATCAGTGAGTATTGGTGGATGTCCACTGCATGGACGAGAACTTCCAGCTTCACAATATCTTTCTATTGTGTCATGTACTGTGCTTTTTGGGTGGCCAGTTTTTGCTTCAATTTCTCGTTCGGTGTGTCCAAAGAGCCACCCTCCGATAATGATTACACGTTCAAATTCAGTTAACTCTGCCATTTCACTAAAAGTAAGTTGGAATGCTTGGTTTGTTTGTTTGTTTTTGTTGTTTTTTTTTTTTTTTTTTTGCAAAAATGTGTGAAGAGAGGAAGCAGAAAGCCTAATGATCATTTTTCAGTTAATAATCTGCAACCGTCGCTTGAATGACATAACAACATTTTTTCAAAAGTACATGACACCTGCTACAAAACCATGTTTAAAGTTTGTTAATAATGTAAATGGTTGTGGAGGTATTAATTTTGAACATCTTCTTCGTAATGCCTAATTTATTCATTTTCAGTTGAGTAAATTCGGTTATAGGAAAACTCATATTAATTTGTAACGAACTTTTGCAGGAGTGTAGCTCAATACAAGCGCAAACTATGGCTAGAAATCTGAAGTTTCGTTATGGAATCAACGGAAATTTTAAGGGGCGGTCGGAGACTTTTGGTCACCCACTGTAGCACCACAACTAGTATATAACAATATTTTATTACGAGATATCGCATAATAAATCACTCTTTCTGATGCTCTATTACTATTGAACTTTCTAAACAATCTCGACATTATCTAAACTAAAGAGATACTTTACAGTGCGCGAAAATGTATCATAATAAATTTCGATTTTCTTTGTCATATTCAACCAGTTAAAAAAAAGCTATAACACGTGTTAACAAAGCCTGTTAGATAACGCGACTGCATTTTGTTTTGATTTTTGTTACACGTTTATTAACTTTACATTCAACAC